GAGAGAGAGAGAGATGTATGTATAATCTCTTATACAGTATATTATATTATGGAGAAAAATTCCTTTTTAAAGGTTCTGTATTGAGAAGTGAAGCCCTTCCTTGCTTTCTGGCCAAAGGGGCGTTAGAACTGAGCCACGCCAGAGGTTCCTTTTTAAAATATAATAAAATAAAAAATATATACATTTTTTGGCTGCATCGTTTCTTCCTTGCGAAATGAATTCAGCTGTCTTGCCTTTTGGATTCTTCTTGTTTTGCAATTGATTTATTTTTTCCCCTCCGTGCTCCCTTGCCGTTTCCACAGATTTTTCCCCCGCCTCCGATGGCAGCCTTTTTTTCTTTTTTCTTTGGTCTGACCAGGTATTGCAAGGAGAAGACGCTGGAAGGGCAATTAAATGAACGCTAACAAATCAGTGGTTATATAAGGCCTGTTTCCTGCCTACGGTGCCTCTGTGTGTGTGTGTGTGTGTGAGTGTACGATGCAAGGCACCAGCCTGCGAGGCGGTAACCAGGTGGTGACACCTGTGGCGGAGCCTGTGTGGAGAGACTGTTCTTTAAAAACCTTTGGTTTTTTTATATTTATACATACATACATACATACATACATACATACATACATAAAAAATAACTGGCCCATAGGAAGTACTGCCAGGTTGGGCTTCTTCATTACGCTTAGTCCCCAGATGGCCAAAAAAAAAATTTCCCCTTAGATCTGGGGAAAAAAATCCTTGCAGCGTTTATGGTAGATCACACAACAGGAGGGTGTGCGTTTCTTATTTTTTCACCTGTGTGTTTTTTTAAAAAAAATATTCTTCCAGTTAGTCAGCAAAGGAACAAAATGTAAAGAATTCCTCATTTTTTTTAAATTAAATTTTTTGAAGTCCCATTTTTATTTCTTTGGAAGTAACTCAAGGCAGTGAACGTATATAATGTTCTTTCCTCCTCCTGTTTTCCCCACAATAACAACAACCCTGTGAGGTAGGTTTTGCTGTAAGAGGCCCCACATCACCCAGCTGGCTTTCATGCCAAAAGGGGAACTAGAACTCCCCGTCTCCTGGTGATTGGCACAAAGTCACCCAGCCAGCTTTCATGCCTAAGGTGGGACTAGAACTCCCAGGCTCCTGGTGATTGGCCCCAAATCATCCAACCGGCTTTGATACTTAAAATGGAACTAGAACTCCCATGTGCCTGGCACAAAGTCACCCAGTGGACTTCCATGCCTAAGGTGGGACCAGAACTGTCTCCTAGTGATTGGCCCAAAATCATCCAATCAACTTTCATACTTAAAATGGGACTAGAACTCCCATGTGCCTGGCACAAAGTCACCCAGTTGGCTTTCATGCCTAAGGTGGGACTAGAACTCACCGTCTCCTGGTTTCTAGGCCAAATTGGCTCTCAATATCTCTTATAATTTTTGTCCACATTACTTTCATATCCCTGGTCTTTCTTGGGGTTTGAAAATCCTGCTCAGCTTCTAAAATTGGAAAGCATCAAAGGCGAAATGACCTGAGTCTTATCCCATAGGGATTTTGCAAAATAATCTTTATTTAGCCACATTTTCCATCTGCCAGTGACAAAGATATCTAGATTTCTTCTACCTGTAGATGGAAAATGTACATCTCTTTACTCCAGCCTTGTATGCCATCTAAAAGCCTGTTGAACTGCTACCGTATTTCCTCCAAAATAAGACCCTGTCTTATATATTTTTTTTGCCATCAAAAAAGGCACCAGGTCTTATTTTGGGGGGATGTCATCCACTGACTAATCTCACTTGCGTGTGTCGTCCCCTGGCCTCCTTTTCTCTGTCAGAGGCCTTCAGGAACTACTTCTGTGGCCGGCAAGGCTTTCCTGAAGGCCTCTGCAGCCGATAACAGAGCTCGGGATCGATCCGGAGCTTTGTTACCGGCTCCAGAGGCCTCCAGGAAAGCCCTGCCAGCCTTGCTGGCTGCAGAAGAAATGGGCCGGCAAGGCAGGTGTTGGGATGTGCCAGGCCTGGCTACAACTGTCCAAAGGCAAGTAGTAAGGCAGCTCTACCTCCCCCATTCCCAACCTAGCTTAATTTTTACCCGTCAACTCTGGAGTGGGCGGGATCTGTTTTTTAATTATTTTTTATTAAAAGTTTTATTTTTTCACATTTCAATAACATCTTTTTTTAGTGAACAACATGATTCCAGGTTTTCACATTTCCATACAAACATGACCTTGATTACATATTCATCTTTCACATTTAGTTTCATATCTTATCATTACTTTACATATTTTCTATTAATTTTCTCAAATACTTTCCTCAAACTTATTTTATATATTTTCAATTCATTTCTTAACCTATTCCTTTTAATTTAAATCATTCTCATATCTTCATATTCATTGTGCTTTATACTTTTATCTGTCAGGTTTGCAATTTCATCGCATATTCTTATTTCATCATTTCAAAAATTCCATCTCAATTCAAACATTTCAAAAAAGTTTCCCCCATAATTACCAATTAGAGTGTGCCACCCCTATACCTTATATATCATTTGGTTAGTTCCTCTTTAAATCCCAATAATCATTTAACTTTTTAATTATCACCTTAAGAATTAATAACAATAATCTCCTAACAACTACATAAAATATATATCTTTTAAATCAGATTCTGCATGGCACTTTCCCCTTCAATTACATCACATCATTTATAATTTCAAAAAGAAAAATTAATCTATTCAATTAATCATAAAAACTGATATTAATCTCATTACAGTAATCCTCATAATTCATTTCAACTATATTCTTAAATTCATTAAACATAGTTAATAAACTCATAATAGTTTCTCTTTTTTCACATTTATTCCATTTATCTATATATATATAGTTTAGTAATAAAACAAGTATTCTAATAACAAGAAAGTATCAGTTCCAATCTTTCCATTTTAAAAATCTATATTTTCCTACTTTCTAAATAATTTATTACTTCAAATACATTTATACTACACCTCATCACCTTGCAGAATCCCCTTTCTTAATCCTTATTTAACCATTATCTCTATGTCTTTTGAATAAACAATTTCTTTTCATTTTTGTTCTATTTCCATATTTCTTTATTTCCTGGTTCTTTTTCTTATTACTTCTTTTTTCCTTCATTTTTTCCCTCCTTTTCTTACTCCAGTTTTTATCCCCCCTCCCTCTTGAAAGCTTCCTTCTGTGATTTCCTTTTCTGCTGTTTTGTTTTACTTTGGTTTTCAAAACATTCCCCTTTTTAATTGCCTCCTCAAATCTCCAAGTTTTAATTCCCATTCTTTTCCCTCTTCACTTTAATATTCGTTGCTCCAATTGTTAATTGAAGATGGCCTCTTCTTTAATCAGCTCCTCCTCTTCTGGCACTCCTTGTTGTTCTTCATACTCTAAAATTGCCATTTCTAAGAATTGTAAGGCAGAACCAAATGACTTGCCTCTTTCATGTAACATTTCTTTCATATTTCTTAGTTCCATTTTTAATTCCACAAAAAGTTCTGCCATTTTTAAACACTTCTGTTATATATATTTCTTTACTCTTTAAGTCCATGGTTATCCAGTAGTTTGATTCAACCAACGTCTTTAGAATTTATTTCCAATGATCAGCTTTTATTAATTCCTCTTTAGGTTTTTTCCAAATTCATCAAATAGTCCAATATCCATAAATTTAAGTTTATGCCAAAATCACCAAACAATCCCAAGGTAATTTCTTCCTGCTTATTTCTTTTGTTTTAATGTTCAGTATTTCCACTTTCCACTTTCCAGGGTCTCTATTTTGTTGTAACAAAGTTTCACTTACTTTGTATCAAATTCAGCTTTTAAAAGAGCCAGGCATTGTTTTTTTTAATAGTCACAAAAATTTTCTTTTACCACTAGATGGCACTCTCTGTTATATCCAAATTCCATACCCCCCCCCCCCCTTTTTTTTTCTTCTTCTCTATTTAGGGCTTTAAGATTCAAAAATCCAATAAATGCAAATATCAATTACTGGTTTTTTTGACACATTTAAGTTCAGCTTTAATTATGCCTATTTAGTGCCAAAATAATAAATTAATCCAATTTAAACAGATATCTTCCTCTGGCTTCCTCCTTTCAAAGTTCAAAGCCACTTTCACCTGTCAATTTTTTTTTCTTCACTTTCTCTGGTTGCCGCTTTTATTATCTCTCTGAAAAATTTCTTAAGATTTTAATTCTGGGGTACCTTATGTTTAAATGTTGTGCCTGATTAGCTCGATTTTCATGCTGTCCTCTTCTTCACCGCTCCTACATAATCTTTGTCCCAGTTAGCTCTTCCTCTTCAGGGTGGCCATATTTGACCACCGCTACAGCTGTCTTCGGAGGGGAGTATGCCTAGCCAAGGAGGGGAGATGCGGCTCCCCTTGACCCAGCTGGCGGTCTCCCCCTTCTTCACTACCCCTACAGGGTGGTTCTGACCTCAAAAACAGATGACCGGGGCCTTCCGATGGGAGAGCACGGATTGAAGCCGTGGATGATCGCGGTCTCCAGTCCATCAGCGAGGAGAAAGCCACCGGAAGTCTGGAGTGGGCGGGATCTTAATTAGGTCTTATTTTGGGGGGAAGGGCTTATATTGGGCACATGTGTAAAAATCAAGCTAGGACTTACTTTCAGGGTATGTCGTATTTTTGGAGAGAAACAGGATATCAGTTTCCAAATATTCTCAAATCTATTGTCTAAGCAAGCTGAGAAAATTGCTGTGATGCAACAAAAGCACTAAGACACCATCCATCATCAACAAAACCTATTTTAAACCAAAGAGCATAATGTATGAGGACCAAAATCCAGAAAATTGGGGTGTGGTGCAGTGGAAGGTGCTGTCACATTTCTAAATTTAGAAGATGGTTCGGGCACTTTCTGTTCTGTTATGATTTGCTTCTCATTTCTGTTTGGATGCTCTTTGTCCTTATTTTAACCTGCCCTATTTGGGTCACTTTTAGAGGGACAAAAGCAGCAGGTTCCAGAGGTTTGCAACCTGCATTCATTCAGAGGGGAAGGCCCGAGTCACAATAGTTATCCTGGGTGGGTGTGTGTGTGTGAGAGAGAGAGAGAAAAATTGCAAAGAAGAAAAAAACATTTAGGAAATGATTTTACAAGAAATGTTAGTTCTGCTTTATAATGCCTTGGGAAGATTCCACAGTTGGAATACTGCATCCAGTTTTGGTCACCATGATATAAAAAAGATGTCGAGACTCTAGAAAAAGTGCAGAGAAGAGCAACCAGGATGATGAGGGGACTAGAGGCTAAAACATACGATGAACAGTTGCAGGAACTGGGCATGGCTAGTCTAGTGAAGAAAAAGACTAGGGGAGACAGGATGGCAGTGTCCCAATATGTGAGGGGCTGCCACAGAGAGGAAGGGGTCAAGCTATTTTCCAAGACACCTGAAGGCCAGACAAGGAATAAGGGATGAAAACTGAACAAGGAGAGATTCAACCTAGAAATAAGGAGAAATTTCCTGACAGTGAGAACAATTAATCAGTGGAACAACTTTCCTTCAGAAGTTGTGGGTGCTCCATCCCTTGAGGCTTTTAACAAGAGATTGGACAACCATTTGTGTGAAATGGTATATGATCTCCGGCTTGAGCAGGGGGTTGAACTAGATCAGGGGTCGCCAACCTTTTGGACCTCAGGGACCACCAAACTCATAATTTTAAATCCCGTGGATCATTCTTTATTTGGGATCGCAGGATACCGTCTCCAGCTCCGTTCTCAGGGGGAGAGAGAGAGAGAGACTTTTGGCTTCATGCAAGGAAAGCAGCAGAAGTCTTTCTTTCTCTCCCCCCAAACTCCGCCAGAAATGAGTCTTTGTGAGACTTGTTGCGCTGGCGCAGCCTCTTGGAGCAGGATGCCTTGCAGGATCCCAAAGACTCATTTCTGGTGGAGTTTGGGGGAGAGAAAGAAAGACTTTTGTTGCTTTCCTTGTGTGCAGCCAAAAGCTGAAGAAGAAAGAAGTGGAAAGAAGCAGCCTGGTGGCCAGGCAAGGCGCGTGGGGCGAGTGGGGCAAGTTCAACCCCTCTGCCCTTTCCCCACTCCCCTCACTACCTCGTGTTGTTTGCAATGCAAGTGACGCAAGCCTTGTGTTCCCGCGCAGCCTGGATTAATTGCTTTGGGGGGGTGCTTTGGGGGTGACATTTCTCTGCGGACCACCAAAATTTTCTCACAGACCACCAGTGGTCCCTGGTCCACTGGTTGGTGACCACTGGACTAGATGACATCCAAGGTCCCTTCCAACTCTGTCACTCTGTTAATGGACAGTGAAGATGGCATTTAATTTCGTTGTATGAGGTGCGACGTGTTCTGACCCAACCCTTGTTACCAGCAAGAAAATCTCAAACAAACGCAGCAACTCAAACCTTCACAGCTTTAATCTACAAATAAACTTCTTTGTAGATAAAAGATGGCTTGCAGCCAATTAGTCCAACCAGAAAAGCCTCGACATAATTCTTCAGATAAGCCCGAGTCTCTATGCACAATGCTGGGTTCTTAGAGCGTTTTTGCTTTCTGCAGAGGCAAAAACCTTTTGAAACCAGGCTTATATTCCTTGGAGGGAGGGGCCATTACATTGCATCCTTACTCCCAAGTCGCCTGTGCTGCTCCAGCTGTTCTCTTTGTCATGCCCCTGGTGGAGACTGACTCTGAGGAAGAGGAGGAAGAGCCAACAGGGAGTGGAAGTGTGGCTCCAGAGGTGGTGGAGGAGGCTGGGGAAGGGCAGAGGCTGGCTGAGCAGTCAGAGGAGTACCCAGGCCCATCCCCTATCCATCCTAGGGCACGCAGGGAGGAGAGGATCAGGGTAAAACGTGGTCTACTTGGGAGAAGATGGCCATGATCCTCTTCATGGGTTGCAGCTGTGAAGTTTGCATAAGAGTTTGGACCTGTGTGCTAACAGCTGCTGGAGACAAATTAGTGTTTTATTTCTAAAGAAGGTTTATCTTGGTTGGCGTTCTTCCAACGGACTGTCCCTGGTTATCTCCCTGAAGCTTGCAATTATCTATCCTGGTCTGTCGAGGAACTTTATTCAATGCGGTTTGTTTTGGGTTTTTGCTTCGTTATCGGCTCTTTGAATGTGAACTGTGTTTCTTGCCTTTGAAATGTTATTTTGACTCATTCACTGTGAACAATGAAACAGTGAAGCCAGGTTGAAGGCAGTAAAGGACTTTTAGTTACGTTTTGGATTTTGTTATATTTCTGAGATACTCTGGGTCATCACACTCTTCTACGAATCATCCTGCGCTCACGCGCACTTGGCACAGGCTCCTCGGGAACCTCATCACTGCTGCCAGCCCCCACAATCCCTGAAGGCAGCAGTCCACTCCCTGATGGTCCCGGCCCCTCATCCGAGTCCTCGCTGTCCTTCACCGTCCACACCTGCTGCCAGCTAACCACAACACGATGACAATAAAGTACTACTACTAATTAAACAGCGGAAAGGTTTTGCCTCCAGAAGTTGTAGATACTCCCACTGCTGGAGTTTAAGAAGAAATTGGACAACCCATTTGTCTCTAGTATAGGGTATCCTGCGTGAGCAGGGGGTTGGACTAGATCAGCGGTCGCTAACTGGTGGGCCGCAAGAAAATTTTGGTGGGCCTCAGAGAAATGTCACCCCCCAGAGCACCCCCCAAAGCAATTAATCCAGGCTGCGCAGGAACACAAGGCTGGTCCACCCATATGGCCCGCCCTCCCTGCCCACTCACTCCTTACCTGGCAAACTTGCCTGCTAAGTTGCTATTTTTCCTTTTTTGCTGTGCCAGGAAATTTAGATTAGCTAGAATGCAGGAAACTGTTGCATTTCTTGCTTTCTAGTCTTTAGATCTTTGGCTCTGCTTTTTAGCAGAGCCGAATGTTAGGAATAACCATAGTTACCTAATGTTGTTTGGGTAAATAATATATAAACCATGATAGCAAAGTTTAAATGTGTTTTTCACTTTAAACTCTAAATGATATAATTTGGGTGCTGTTGAGAAACTGCCATAAGAGGGAGCTAGAGAACCTGGATTGCTACTGGATTGATGGTTGATTGTTATGCGTGTTCCCTGTTGCTGACGTCGAAGGAGGAAAGAGTTTTTGAATGCTGCATATCTAATCTACTGTGAGAAGATATTTGCTGGACTGATTTATGGATTAACATTGTAAGTTAACTGACCTTTTTTTTTCGACACTGGATTTTTGCAATTGAACAATCTTCGGACTGAACTGACTGAACACTGGTGAATGATATTTGGACTGTTTGACCCTGCTAAACTCTTAATGGAATAAACTATTCAACTAAGACAGTGTATCCGTTTTTACTGAGTGTGTAAACTAAAAAACGCTTTCTCTCATATTCGCCTGACTGCCTGACTGCTGTGCACATTCTGCTAGGGTATATCCCTAACACCGAACCTTCCTTAGGATTGAAGCTTCTATTATTCAGTGCAGACTCACTGCAAGCAAATTTTATGTGACAGACTCAGGTAGCCGATGGCAGATAGATAGATCTGTGAATGATTCTGTGAGCAACTCAATCTGCCTTTTTTATTAAAAAAAAGTATCCAACTCTTGTCATTCTGTTAATTAAACAGCAGAATGGTGAGCCACCAGAAGTTGTAGATACTCCACTGCTGGAGGAGCTGAAGAAGAAACTGGACCTTTTGTTTCTAGTATAAGGTCTCCTGCGTGAGCAGGGGGTTGGACTAGATGACCTCCAAGGTCCCTTTCAACTCGGTTAAATCTGTAACCCTCCAACGCTATTCTTTTTCTTCTGGGACAGGAGGGCGCCGGTTGACGTTCCACCCTCCCTTTCCCACCGCACGCCGGCTACAGTTGAGTCCGCGCCCCGCCCCGGCTCTTCATTATGCAGTCGGAACGTCGCCTTCCGATTGGCCGGCCCGTCCAGCCAATGAGCGGGCCGCGGCGCCGTCTGGTGGCAGTGCCAAGGTACACGTGCGGAGCGGTGTGTGTAAAGCGAGGGCGGGGGGCGGCGCGGCGGGGCGGCTGACATCACTTTTTGCCGCTTTTTGCCGCTCCGCCTCCCTTTTGGTTTACAGAATCTGCGCTGCCGTTCCCGGAGCCAGAGGCAGTCGAGCTGGCAAGGCGAGTCCTACTGCTGCGGCTCTCCACATCGCCCCGATCGCCCTCGCTCTCCCGCCAAGCGAGAAGAATGCCAGTGGTCAGCGAGGGAGCCACCGCCAACTGGTCGCGAGGAGCCGGCGAGCAGTTCGTCCCGGCTAAGGCGTGCGTCGGATAAAAAGAGAAGCCAGGCTTCCCTCCCCCGCCAGAACCGGGCAAGGACTCGATCTTCTTACCCCGTGTAAGTAGTCAAAAAAAGAAAAGGAAAAGAAAAATGCGCGTGCAAAAAAAAAAGTACGTGCAAGAAGCGGGGTGGGGGCCGTTCAATTTGGGGAAGTGGGGCTTCGGGATCTGGCAGGCAGGCGGGCTGGAAAGAAGTGGGAACCCCGCCTTAGAGGCTCCAGAGTGGCGGCCGCGGCTGGCTGGCAGCCCCGGCTCGGGCCTCACGTGGGCCGGGCTGGGAACAATGTTCTTTCATGCCGAGGCGCTTTCGTAATCCGGGCCGGGCGGGGAAAAAGGAGGGGAGGCGGGGCGCTGCGAAAGCACCCGTCTCGGCCATGTGCTTGCAGGCGGGCCGGCTGGAGAAGCGAGGCAGACGGAGGGAGGGGGGAGGGAGCGTCTCTTTTTTTCCCGTATTGCAAGCCGGAGAAGGATGGGTGGGCGGAAGAAAGAGAGCCTGGCCAGGATCGCCATGGGGAAGGGGGCTCCGAGGAAGGAAGGGTCCGTCTGCTTGGCCTCGAGGAGACCCCGCCTCGAAGAGGGGGAGAGCAGCAACAGCAGCAGGAGGTGCCGCGTAAGCTTGCTTTCTATGTCAACTTTCCCTTTTGCTATTTTTTGTTATTTTTAATCATTTTATTCAGAAACGTTTTTGAAGGCAGTCTACCATTTACAAGAAACAAACAAACCAGAGCTAATGCTAGAATAGATATTATCCCATTAACAACTACTACTAATAATAATAATATACTAACACATACAGTAATAGCTCTAATGATACTATGAGAACTCCCATATAGCAAAAAAAAAATATCACCAACATTTTAATACAATTTTTAGTGCTTAAGTTTTTCGTATTTTTAGTACTTGTGGGAATGCTTGCTGTGGGAATGCTTGCTGTGGAGGATGGTCTTAAGTGCCGCTGGTTGCGGGCTGGTTGGTTATTTCTGGAAGCTTTGCAAAGGTTTTTGATGGTGTTTTGGCTTCAAGAGGCAGGGATAAATAAGGTGGTTACTTTGGCAGTGTGGTTGTGTGTGTGGTTTTTTGGGCAGTGTGGTTGGGGGTTTTTTTGGCTGGAGAGGAGCAAAAGGAAGAGGGCTGGGCTTGTTTGCAGTGCTAATGACTAGGTTGGATGGGAGTCTGCCTTCAAAAACTGGCTTTTGTTCATAAAATATTCACAGTCTTTGCAAATGATGGTTTTGCAATGGAAGTTTGATCCTCTAAATCAAGGGTCTTCAAACTTGGCAAGTTTAAGACTTCTGGACTTGTAATGCAATTTTTAATAATAATCAGGATTATGCCAGTGACCAAAAACATAAAAAAATGAAATATACTGCCCAAATGTTTTTTTGATATGGCGGAAGAACTAGATTTAGTAGATGCATGGAGGAAATTGAAACCGGGGTGACTCAATTTACTTTCTACTCCAATCCACACAAATCTTGGTCAAGGTTAGATATGGCATGGGTGAATAATGAGCTATTCAAGAACATACAAAATATAGAGATATTAACTAATACTTGGGCAGACCACAACCCATTGCAGATAATCTGGAAAGATCAAATTCATAAGAAAGGTAGGTGGACTCTTAACACACAACTGTTGAAAGAAAAAGGTTATATTCAAAAAATTAGGGAAGAATTAGATGTATTTTTTAAATTTAATAAAAAAACAAGATACCTCATTGCAAACTCTCTGGGACACAATGAAGGCGTATTTAAGGGGAATATCTATAGCCTATACGGCCAACAGAAATAAGGAAAAATGGAAGAAACAAAATTTGTTAACAAAAAGAATAAAGGATTTAGAAGATAGATTAATGAAAGCCCCAGGGGATGACCAAATTAGAAACGATTTGATATTACTTAAACATGAATTGAATATGTTAGACCAGGAAGATTTAGTTAAGACAATGGTATACACAAAACAAAACCATTTTGAACATGCAAACAAACCTGGTAGATGGTTAGCATATAAATTGAAAAAAAAAACAAAAAAGAACTATATACCAATTGAATGATAAAAACGGAATGATAAAGACAATCTGGTTCAGGTTTTTTTTTTCCAATCTTTCTGCAATTATGGACATAAATATTTTATAGTCAACATTTAAAAGGGATATGGGCCTATAATTTTGAATTAATTGATGGTCCGAATCTTCTTTTGGGATCAATGTTATGTATGTCTCTCCCCATGACTTGGGTAACTTCACTTGTCAGTACCTCATTGTAGAGTTCTAACAATTGGATTTCTAATTTTTCTTGGAGCGTTTTATACAGTTCCCCTGGGAGACTACCTGCTGCTGGTGTCTTATTGTTTTTCAGTTTCAGGATTGCTTCTTGGAGTTCTTTTAGTGTTATTTCCCTGTTTATCTCTTCTTTATTCTCTTCCGGGATTGCGGGTAGCCCTTCCCTTCTAAATAATGTTGGATATTTTCCTCTGGTACGTCTTCCCTACTATATAGTTCCTCAAAGAAACTTTTAACAATATGTTTTTTCTTTTGAGTTTGATGTTGTAACGTACCATCAGCATCCTTCAATTGTTGGATTGATCTTTTTCCCTTTTCTTAAGTCTGTAGGCTAGCCACCTTCCCGGCTTGTTCGCATGTTCAAAATCATTCTGTTTTATCATTTTCATGTCCTGTAACCATTCATCTTGTGCTAACATATTCAATTTGTGTCTAAGCATTATCCTTTCCATATTTGCTGTCTTATTATGTGGCGTTTTTTCTAATGTTTTTTCTAACTCCTTAAGGGTATCTAGTAGTTCTCCTTTTATTTCCTTGTGTCTACGTGTATTATATGAAATTGCTACGCCCCTGATGTATGCTTTAGTCGTGTCCCACAGGTTTGGAATTGATGTTTGTTGTTTTTTGTTTTCCTTCAGAAAGAACTCCAGGGTATGTAAATGTTACTTGTTATCCCGGTCAGCCAAAAACTTTCACTTCTTAGCTTCCTCCTGCTCATTCTTATCCGGATGAAAGCTTCTTTGTGGCGGCCATTGTTGACCGCCGCTCCACCGCTTTTGGAAAAGGGAGTTAAGCCAGCTGAGGAGGGGGGTTGCTATTCCCCCGGACACCTGCCAGATCTCCCCTGTCTTCAGTTACCTCTACGGGGTAACTATAGCCCCCAAATCCGGCTGGATTGGGGGCACTCCAGCCGCGAGCGCAGCAGAAACCGCGCACGATCGCGGATTCCTGCCGCCGCCGAAGCCTTACAAACCGGAAGTTTTATTAAAGATACATCGCTCCCAAAGAAGACTTGGAAAAAGCGGCGAACGAAAGTAAAAAGGGAAAGTTTGTTTTTTCTCACTCTCCTTCCTTACGGTGATAGCAGATGAATGAGAAATCGGAAAAACCCGTTTTTGGCATCAGCAGGTAATTAAATTGGAAAACCAAAGCCAAGGGGATAAAGATTTCTGAACATTGGAAAAAAAAACTTTTTTTTGCTATAAGTGGGAAGGGAGAGGAAAAGAATTAATATTAAGACTTTGCTGGAGGAGGCTGCTTGGAATTTATAAGACTAGAGCTAAATTGTGACAAAACTTCTAAAAGATATATTTTAATTGGAACTTTGCAACTGAACTGTAACCCCAGGAAGAGAAAGTATAAAAAGAAGAAAGTGCTAAATGAAACAGTCTGTGTGTATTTGGATTGCTTGGTGACTTTGGGACTTTTGGAAATTATTATTTGAAAGACTAAAAACATTTGGGTTGTTTAAAAATTTTTTTACAATGGCATTACTTGTTGATGAACTGAAAATGGAATTTAAAAAGCTAAAAGAAGAGGAACAAGAAGGAAAGGGCTCTTCTGGATCTGTTTTCCATTTCTTAGAAATGGCGATTTCTACCTACCAGAAACTATAAGAACAAGAAGATTGGGATGAAGAAGAAGCCATCTTTAATGAACAAGTAACTCTAGCTGGGGAAGAAAAGGGAAAGAGGGGAAAGAGAATGGAGAATTTAAGACTTAAAAAAACAACCAAAAAAGGGAAAAATAAGGTGAAAAATCGATACAATGTCAGAAAGCAACAGAAAAGAGGAATACAGAAGAGGGTGGAGATTAAGAGGGTGGAAATCAAGAGACGGGGTAAAAAGGCTAGATTGGAGAAGAAAGGAAGGGAAAAAGGGAAGAGAAGTTACAAAGGTTTGAAACAAGATGTAAAGAAACAGGATTTATTCAGAGATAATGGGTAAAAAATATAATTAAAAAAAGATTCTGCAAAAGTACATAAGACTATTGTATTTGTATTTGAAATAATGTTAGAAAATTGGAATATTATATGATTATAAAATGGGATAAAATATTAAAAGGAATGTAAAATGCTTAAGACTTAACGATAGAGTTTAATTTGCTATGGATTATTGTTTTAATTATATTATAAACTTATTCTTTTTTATTGTAAAATATAGTACGTAGCTTTAGAATGTACTAAGCAGAATCAGAATGAAAATTATATATTATTTTAAGTGTTAAACTTAGGGGAAAGATAGAAAGGCGTCATACTTCAATCAGTGATTACAGGAGAAATTTTGTATTAATGAGAAAAGATAATAGATAATTGAAACAGAACAGACAAAAGATATAAACATAATGATTTAAATTGAGATGAAATAAATAAAACAATTAAGAGAGTGAAAAGAGGGGAGAAGCTATATAGAAAATGTAGAATGGTAAATAAGATATGAAATGGTATATAAAGTGAGTATGAATTCGAATTTATGTCTGTACAAAAAGATGTAACCTTCTGGATCTGTTTAAGCCGCTTTCTAAAAAGTTTTATGTTTTTATGTTTTGTGTTTTGTATGTTGTTTATTGAAAATTAATAAAATTTTTATAAAAAAAAGAACTCCAATTCTTTTCCCATCATTTTAACACATTCTTTTTCTTTTAGGATCTCCTTGTTTAGCATCCATCTTCTGGTTTTTTTTTCAATCCTTTCCAAATTATTTTAATGGGATTATGGTCCGCCCATGTGTTAGATTCAATTTCTATTTCTTTTATATTCCGTTCCATTTCCCCATAACATATCCAATCTTAACCATGATGTATGTGGTGCTGAATAGTAAGTATACTGTTTTTTGTCTGGATTTCTTCCTCTCCATATATCTTTTAATCCTAATTCTTCTGCCAATTGATAAAATACTTTTGGTAATGTTTTCCTTTTCCTTTTTTTCCCTAGATTTTCGTTATTGTGGTCTTTTCCTAAATTTGCTATTGCATTGAAATCACCTAGCAGGCATATGTTCTCATATTCCTTTTCTACTAATTTTCTGTATAGTTTGGTATAAAATTTTTCTTGTTTCTCATTCGGCGCATATATCACTGTCTATAACATTTTCTTATAATTTATATAAACTTCTGACATCAAAATCCTACCCTCCTCGTCTGCATATACCTGTTTTGCTTGTAAATGTTTCCTAATATATGTTGCTATCCCCCTCTTTTTTGTTGGGCAAGAGATACGTATAAGTCTCCTAACTTTGGTGCTTCTAACAGTTTACTTTGAAGTTTCTGGATATGTGTTTCTTGAAGGCATATAATATCTAAGTTCAATTTCTGTAGTTTAGTTATCATTTTTTCCCTCTTAATTTGTGAATTTAAACCGTTGATGTTAATGGAAATCAATTTGATTTCTTCCGCCATCTTACTCTGTAGTTGTTTCTTGTTGAAGCTTATTTACTCTTGTTTGGTGTCTCGTTCTTATGCCTTCTCTTTCCACTTCTTCCTGCTCTCTTTCCTCTTGTTCTGTTTCTCTTTCCTCCACCTGATCTTCTTCTTGGCTCCTGCTTTCCACTTCCTCTTTGCTGTTCTGGTCTTCTGATACCACATATAGTTCAGAGAATTCCCTTGTTTTTTCTATACTGTCTATTTTAAATTTTTTATCCTGCCATGATATTAACATTCCCTCTGGGATGAGCCATTTGAACAGGATGTTTTTCTTATTCAGTTGGGTGGCCAGGAATCTGTATTTCTTTCTATGTTCCCTTATTCTTCTTGGAATTTGTTTCAACGTTACAATTTCTGTTCCCTTAAATATCAGCGGTTCGTCTCTTGTCACTTTGTATATCTCATCTCTCAGTTGTTTCTTTGAGAATCATATATGAACCTCTCTTGGAAGTCTAAAACGTCTTGTATAGTTGGTATATATTCTATATACCTTGTCGATTTCCCTTCGAACCTCTTGGCCCTCTTTTTGTAACGCTTCTGCTATGAGATCTGCCATTAATTTGGGCAAGTCCTCCCCCTTCTGTTACATTCTGAAATCTGAGGAAGAAATCAGCCTTTCTCCTGAGAGCCGTTCGGATCATCCAGAGAGTGGGAGGTGCTTCAGTCTACGTCGTTGATGGCTGAGCTCAATCACTGAGGAACGCTCCGCCCTCCACGCGGCTCTCTTGCGTTCCCCAGTTTGCGCTCAGCCGTCGTCAAGTTAGGCTGTGCATTTCTCACTCCTTGGCCGATCCAAGACTTGCTCTCAGGTTTGGATATATTTACAAGAAAAACAATTTATTTTCCTTAGCCTTCTGGCGCAGGACTGGGGATTTAAGGGGAGTGCGTTTCTTTCGCCCCCAGGGGGGTTGTAGAACGGGCGGCTTTCGCGCTTCGGCGCTAATCCCCCCCCCAATTCGATCTCTTGCCTGCCGTTTCTCTCGCCGCGCTTGCAGCGGCTTTACTGATCGCGCTGATATAGCGCTGCTGGTATTCCCCCCCACCGCAAACGCCGCTCGCCCTAAGAAGGGGCGAAAACTTACTGCCTGGCTTCCTCGGCCTCTTTTAGGGCCGGAGAAGTAACCTTCGTTGCCCTGAGCAGCCCGGGACTTTAGAAACGTGGGCGATCGCCTCTAGGGCGCCTCCACGTGGCGGGCGCCATCTTGATTGAGGCCTCATAGCGCTGCGAAGTAACCGGCCCTAGCACAGGCCTCTCAGCCTGTAGGGCCTTTGGTAATTGGTACCCTTTATTAACTGTTGGCTTCCCGCAGCAGGCTCAGGGCAAGTGATAGCAGCCTATCCCTCCCGGTTGTTGCCTGGGAGCTCCAGCTGCCAGAGGCCTCTTACCAGCCTCAGGCGTTTAATTCGGAAAATTGGCAATTTTTCATTACTAGAGTAATAATAATAATATTAATACTTACAATAATAATAATAATTAGAATAATATTAATAATAACAATATATTAATAATAATAATCATAATAATATTAGAACAAGAATATTAACAATAGTTCTAATACTAATAGACATTGGAATATCTGCCTGTATGCAGGTCTAGATATTTCCTCACATATATGTTTATATTTATACTCACATATAGATAGACCTGGGTGAGTTTATTCCTGTAATTTTTCTCTTATTGATATTGAACCTTAGCATTCCAAGTCTCATTGGATTGTTATTCTGCTTGTGCAGATAAGTATTAAGAATTATTTCAACATCTATATTACAGAATTTATACATCTAAATTCCAAAAGGGGGTGTGGGCCAGCTGAAAGGACACCCGACCTTTGTTGTAGGTCGAACCCTTGGCGAGCCAACCGCCTTTAACTGTATTACTGTCCTTTCTTGTACAATGGCAGATGACATTCCCACCAAAGGCCCTTCTTTGAAGGCCAAATCCAAATCCTACCACCTGCGCAAACAGGCTAAGGAAACTCCTAAGGAAACTCCTAAGGAAACACCTAAAGAGACTTCTAAGGCTTCTCAGAGAGACGCCCTACGACGTCATAGGGCTCTCGAGAGGGAATTTGACAGGCGGTCCAGAGAGGCACAACCGGTACTTCCAGCACCCTCCGCTCCTTCTACCTCCAGATCCCCCCCCCTCCTCCAGATTGTTTTTCCGTCTCCAGGCGCAGCCCTTCCCAGGGACACCAGGTTCCCGGCCCATCAACCAGACGGCCTCCTGAAGCTACATTCACGCCCACGGCCGCTGGTCTTCGCCAGGAGGAGGCCCCCACATCTGAGATCCCTGCGCACATACAGGCATTGATGGAACGGGCCATTCGCCAGGGGATAGCAGAGGGCCTTCAACAGATGTCCAGGTCTACTCCCCCCTCACTGGCACCCGAACACGACCCACCATCAGTGAGGTCCTCGCCTAGATCGGACCCTACTCGTGGTCAGGTACCTTCTCAAGGGGGCAGTCCTCTCCCAGAAAGGGACCCGGAGGAGGATATAGAGTATCTAGATCAATTTGGGGGGGAAGAGGAAATGGAATGGGGGTCTATGCAACAAGAGGAGCCCCTATCGGAGGTAGATCCTATGGAGGGGGACATGTCCGAGGATGAGGGTCTCACCCCGGACCAACCCACTGTTGCGGGCCTGTTCAAGCCCCACATGTTTAAATCCCTGTTATTTAAAGCCAGGAACATCTCTGGCCTGTCTGTGCAAACCTCCTCAGCTCTCCCCTCCCCGGCAGAAGGTCAGGAGGACGCCATCTTTAGTCAACCTGTGGTGGAGGCGGAGGTAATCCCGGCTCCACCCCTATTTCATGACCTGGTCTCAAATCAACTGAATTCTACTAGGGCCCCTCCCGCCCCATCCAGCCTGGACAGGAGGTTCTTTAACCTCGAGTCGAGTTTCTGTGACTTACTCAACACCCCCGAGGTGAATGAGCCCATTGTTGGGTTGGCCTCCTCGTCCTCCCCCAGTGACCCCCTAGAGGCTCTGAAACCCGAGGACAAGAGGTCCGAGCTCGCCTTACGTAGAGCTCATCAAGCGGACTCCTGGGCCATTAGATCAGCCACTGCGGCTTTTTTCTTCACCAGATCTTCGATCCGGTGGCTTCGGCAACTGAAGCAACATGTTCCCCCCTCCAACACAAGGGCTCACCAAGACATAGCGAAACTGACGGCCGCGGCGGAATTCTCCGCTGACGCCACCTTCCATGCGGTCAAGTTCTCTGCCCGGGCAATAACGTCCCATGTCACTGCTCGCCGCCTGCTATGGCTTAAACACTGGCAGGCGGACGTTAAAAACAAAGTTAAGCTGGCTACTGCCCCCATAAAAGGGGACAAACTATTTGGCACGGCTCTGGACCCCTTGCTATCTGAAACCCGGAGCAAGAGAAAATTTCTCCCTCCTCTGTTTCGGAGGTCAGAGTCTAGAGCCCCCCAGCCATTTCGGAGAGGCTCCTCCCGCCCTTTCTACCAGTCTCCCTTCCCGCCAAGGTACTCGAGACCCCCCTCCTCCCGACCGTTCCAGCCCCAGGATCGAACCGATCCGGCCGATAGGAACAGGAGGGGCAGCGGCTACAGGCGCCCCTTCAGGGGTTCAGGAGGGAGGCCCTTCCGGCGTAGATAGATCCCGTCCCTCCCCTCCCATCGGCGGACGCCTCAGGCACTTTGCCGACCGATGGGACTCTTCCACCTCTGATACCTGGGTCCGTGATACCATCAGACTCGGCCTCACGCTCGAATTCAAGAGCGCCCCCCCTGACTTCTTTCTGGCGTCCCCCCCCTCAAGGGACCCCATCAAACGCAACCTAATGGATTCAGCAATCCATCATCTCCTCCACATACAGGCCATTCAACCCGTCCCACCCTCCCAGCAGGGGCAGGGGTTCTACTCCCACCTTTTCGTAGTTCCCAAATCCTCCGGAGGATGGAGGGCCATCTTGGACCTTAAACGCCTTAACCGTTATCTGGTCTATCACAGGTTCAAGATGCACACCCTGCAGTCCATCCTCCTCAGCATCCGGCAGGGGGACTGGCTATCCTCCATAGACCTCTCCGAGGCCTACCTCCACATTCCAATCCGACCCTCCCATTTCAAATTCCTCAGGTTCTGCTACAACCACCGCCACTTCCAATATGTCGCCCTTCCCTTTGGGTTGGCCTCTGCCCCGAGGACCTTCACTAAGGTCCTCGCGGCCCTGGCGGCCCATCTCAGGAATCTCCCGGTCCGCCTCCATTGCTACCTGGATGACA